TGAATTTTGTCTCATGCTTCTTTAGCATCTATTGAGATGATCATGTGGTTTTTGTCCTCCTTTTTGTTGATGTAATAGATGATGTTTATAGATTTTCTAATATTGTGCCATACTTGCATCCCTGGAGTAAATCCCCCTTGATCATGATGGATGATCTTTTTGATGTATTTTTGAATTCGGTTAACTAATATTTTGTTGAGTATTTTTGCATCTCTGGTCATCAGGGATAGTGGTTTGTAATTTTCTTTTTTTGTGGTGTCTTTGTCTCATTTTGCTATTAGAGTGATGCTGGCTTCATAGAATGAGTTTGGAAGTATTCCCTGATCTTGTACTTTTTGGAAAACTTTAAGAGAGATGGGTATTAGGTCTTCTCTACATGTCTGATATAATTCAGTGGTGAAGCCATCTGGTCCAGGGATTTTGTTCTTGGGTAGTTTTTTGATTGCCAGTTCAGTTTCATTGCTGGTAATTTGTTCAGATTTTCTGTTCTTCCTGGGTCAGTCTTGGAAGGTTGTATTTTTCTAGACAGTTGTCCATTCCTTCTAGAGTATCCAGTTTGTTAGCATATAATTTTTCATAGTATTGTCTAAGAATTCTTTGTATTTCTGTGGTATCCATAGTGATTTTTCCTTTCTCATTTCTGATTCTGTTTACGTGTGTACAGACTCTTTTTTTTGTTGATAATTCTGACTTGGGGTTTATCTATTTTGTTTATTTTCTCAAAGAACCAGCTCTGGTTTCATTAATTCTTTTGTTTTATTCTTCTTGATTTTATGTATTTCTTCTCTGATGCTTATTATGTCCCTCCTACTGACTTTGGGCCTCATTTGTTCTTCTTTTTGTAGTTTCATTAACTGTGAGGTTAGACTGTTCATTTGGGATTGTTCTTCCTTCTTTAAATAGGCCTGTATTGCTATATCCTTTCCTCTTAGAACTGCCTTCACTGCATCCCACTAAAGTTGGGGTTTTAAACTGTTTTCATTTGTCTCCATATATTGCTTGATCTCTATTTTAATTTGGTTACTGATCCATTGATTATTTAGGAGCATGTTTTAAGCCTCCGTGTGTTTGTGGGCCTTTTTGTTTTCTTTGCACAATTTATTTCTCATTTCATCTTTGTGATCTGAGAGGTTGGTACAATTTTGATCTTTTTGAATTTACTGAGGTTCTTTTTGTGGCCTAGTCTGTGATCTATTCTGGAAAATGTTCCATGTGCACTTTAGAACAGTGTGTATCCTGTTGCTTTTGGGTGGAGTATTCTCTAGATGTCTCTTAGGTCCATTTGTTCTAATGTTTTGTTCAGTGCCTCTGTGTCCTTACTTATTTTCTGACTAGTTGATATGTCTTTTGGAGTGTGTAGTGTCTTGAAGTCTCCTAGAATGAATGCATTGCATTCTATTTCCCCCTTTAATTTTGTTAGTATTCGTTGCTCATATTTGGGTGTTACTATTTTGGCTACATAGATATTTATTATAATGGTTATATCTTCTTGTTGGACTGACCCCTTTATCATTATATAATGTCATCCTTTGTCTCATGATGTTCTGTGTTTTGAAGTCTGTGTTATCTAAGTACTGCAACTCCTGCTTTTTTCTCCCTATTGTTTGCATGAAATATCTTTTTCCATCCCTTCACTTGTAGTCTGTGTATTTCTTTGGGTTTTAAGTGAATCTCTTATAGGCAGCATATAGATGGGTGTGGCTTTTTTATCCATTCTTTGACTATGTCTTTTGATGTGTGCATTCAGTCCATATACATTTAGAGTGATTATCAATGGATATATACATATTGCCATTGCAGGCTTTGGATTCGTGGTTACCAAAGGTTCAAGGGCACCTTCTTTACTGTCTGGCAGTCTAACTTAACTTGGTTATTAGGCTATTATAAACGCAATCTAAAGATTCTTTTTTTTTTTATCCCTTTTTCTTCCTCCTCCCCTCTTTATATGGTAGGTGTCATATTCTGTACTCTTTGTGTGTCCCTTGACTGACTTTGTGGGTAGCTGATTTAATTGTTTATTTGCTTAGTAATTAATTGGTCTACTTTCTTTACTGTGGTTTTGTTTTCTCCAGTGCTAGCTATTTAGCCTTAGGAGTGCTTCCATCTACAGCAGTCTCTTTAAAATACACTGTAGAGATGGTTTGTGGAGGTAAATTCCCTCAACTTTTGCTTATGTTGCAATTGTTTAATCCCTCCTTCAAATATAAATGTTAATCTTACTGGGTAGAGTATTCTTAGTTCAAGGTCCTTCTGTTCATTGCATTAAATATATCATGCCATTCCCTTCTGTCCTGTAAGGTTTCTGCTGAGATGTCTGATGATAACCTGATGGGTTTTCCTTTATAGGTGATCTGTTTTCTCTCTCTGGCTGCTTTCAATACTCTGTCCTTGTTCTTGATCTTTGCCATTTTAATTATTGTATGTCTTGGTGTTGTCTTCCTTGGTTCCCTTGTCTTAGGAGATCTGTGTACTTCTAGGGTCTAAGAGACTTTTTCCTTCCCCAAGTTGGGGAAGTTTTCAGCAATGATTTCTTCAAAGACACTTTTATCCCTTTTTCTCTCTCTTCTTTTTCTAGTACCCCTGTAATGCAAATATTGTTCCGTTTGAATTGGTCAGAGAGTTGTCTTATTATTCTTTCATTCCTAGAGATCCTATTTTCTCTCTGCCTCAGCGTCTTTGTATTCTTGTTGTCTAATTTCTATTCCATTTACCATCTCCTCTGCCTCTTATAGTCTGTTTTTAAATCCCTCCATTGTATGTTTCATTTCAGATACTGTATTTTTCAAAGTGTCTCTTGAATTTGTCCCTTAGATCTTAAATAGTTTTCTGTAGCTCTGTTAGCATGTTTACAATTTTTATTTTGAAATCTTTTTGAGGAAGATTGATGATTTCAGTATCATTGATCCCTCTTTCTGGTGTTTGAGGGGTTTTGGATTGAACAAGGTTCTTTTGCCTTCTCATAAACATACTGGATAATGTGGAATATTAGCTTTGTGTAGGCGTTGCCCTCTAGTGCCCAGAAGCTCTACTCTACGAATCTGCCCAGCACCTGGAGCAATGGTGGGAGTAACAGGCGAGCAGTGCCTATGCCTGCCAAGGGAAAAGAGCTCTTTCCTGCTTTCCCACCATAGTACCTGCCTCCACTGTCAGGGCCAGTGAGCCGAGCATGCAGGGAGCAGGCTCTTGGGTATGCTTCTGTAGGTGGGGCTGCTTCCCAGCCCCAGTGCCTGCCTTCACTGTCAGGACCAGTGAGCTGAGTATGCAGGGAGCAGCCTCTTGGTTACACTCCTGTAGCTGCCTTAGGCACGGCCACCCTCTGGCTGGCCTGGCACCATGGCAGGGACAGCAGGTTCGCCAGCAGATGCCGGCAGGAGGAAGGAGCAGCAGGGTGCATATCGCAATGGGAGGCCTCAAGGCTGCTTTACCAGCCAGGGGGATGGAGCACCTGAAGCTCCTGAAAGTTCCCAACCTACTGGGCTGTGTGTGTCAGGATGATTTTGTCCACCTGTCCCTTCTCCTGAACAGCAAACTGTGTAATCTTGCCCCTTTAGCAGCCCTCTCACTGTTAGGAAGTCTTTCATCATTCCCACCTTTCTTTTGTACCAGAGTAGCTGGTTGTGGGCTCCTCTTTCTCCGTAAGCAGCTGGAATCTCAGTCTCTCCAAGTATTCCACCTGTCTTAGCTTTACAACCCCTCTAATCTCCAAAGTACCATACAGTGTGGGTTTGTGCTCCTGGAGTAGATCTCCAGTGCTGGGTATTTAGCAGTCCTGGGCTTCTACTACCTCCTTTGTTTCTCTTCCTGCTGCTGGTAAGCTGGAGTTGGGGGAGGGCCTGGTCCCGCTGGATTGTAGCCTTGGTGTTTTACCCTTTTCCGTGAAGTCTACTTTTTTTTTCCTCCAGATGTAGGCCAGTTGTTGGAATCTTCTTCTTGATCACTCTTTTAGGATTAGTTGTATTTGCTGTATTTTCGTAAATGTGGTTTTGGGAGATTTCTGCCTCACTTCATACGCTGCCACCTTTTTCTGAACTCCCAAAATTATTTCTTATAGAAGAAAGGACTTCTGTTTCTGATTATCCACAGGAACAAATTCACTCTGTAGTATGGCAGTCTTAAAGGGTGATTCTAGTAGCAACTAGCCAGTGTATGAGGAGGGTGCATTCCCTTCCTGAAACACTTCTTGTAGTCTGTAGGCAGTTTAGAGTGCCTAGAGGAGAGTATCCTAAGGGGGGAGGGTTTAGAAATTGTGTTATATGAAGAGCAGTGGAGGAAAGTGGGCATTTCTTAATTCAGTATGTATTTTTAGATTTATATTACAGAAACATTATGTGTATTTTGGGCTGCTTTTGAAGTATATGGTTGTATTAAAATGTTCTCTATGCTTTGTAAACTGTACACACTTCCAGCCCCATTTCCCTCACCCCAAAGACACATGCCCCAGGGAAAAATCACTGTTCTCAGGGCCAGCAGGTATCTGAGGGGCTGTGGTCGCAGGTACTTCTGAAGGAGGAGGCTAATTTGTTCTGTGAGGCTCTGAAGGGCAGAACAAGGACCCACAGATGTCAGGACAGGGAGAAGAGCTGGATGTCTCTCCCTGAGGCTGTGTAAGGAGCAATGACCACCCCAGAAATGGGACAGGCTGTCTGTGAAGTGTTTGGTGGGTTTTCCTCAGAATTGCTCCAGCAGCAGGTCTATAGGCAATTTTACTTTCAGTGAAGGAACCCTTTTTCAAATAAAATTGTGTGTAGACCTAACTCTACACTAGCTGCTCTGGCTTATTTGGGATGGATGGAGGCTCCAAGCCCTGCTACCTGGGTTTTCTTGAGAATGGAGTTGTACAGTTGAAAAGTTGGTTGGATTAGATGATTCTCAGTGCCCTTATAACTCTAATAAAAGTCTGTAATTCTAGGGAATTGGTCATAAGATTATTTCTCCAGTGTAGTTATAGAAGCTGCCTTTGTAGAACTTGCTGACTGCAATTGTTCTGTCCTTCGTTCTAGTTACTTAAGATGGCCCAAGGCCAGGGGGCAGGCACTGAGCATTATGAAGAAATTGAAGACTATGATTACAATAACCCTAACGACACCGCCAACTTTTGTCCAAGATTACAGGTAAAAGGAGAGAGGAGCTGTATCCTCTCTTCTAAGCCAAAGAGTATTTCCTGCTTCCTATCTGGTTCCTATACAGCAGAAGGTTGTAGGAGATTTCCGAATCAGGTGGGGCTTTGTGGATGCCTGCCCTACTCCAGGCTTCAGGGAACTGAGCACAGCTGAGGAAACAGCCAAAACCTTGCCTTACCTTCAGCCCTATATGCAGGAAATGAATGGATATACTCCAGTAAACCAGTCCACATGTAGATAGTCTCTAGCCTGTGTTTTATTATTTTAAAGGAAATTAAATACTCCTCCTGCTCATAGGAGTTAGTATTTTGGTTGGGGAAACAAAATACTTAGCAGTGTAAAGATGATGTGGTCTAATGGGAAAAAATCTGGTGGGGCTAAGTACAGGAGACCAGGTATGTAGCTCTGATTGTTGTTCTCACATTGTGAGCTTATACAAGCCATGCCCCCATGTCTACATTTTGGTTTAGACTAAATAATCTCAATATTCCTTCTGTGATTCTACTAGTGAGATGGCAAATATAAGTAACAGAAAGAGGAAAAATATTAGGCCTCATCTGTGTCCCTATATGTGGGGAGAGGGAAAATAACTGGAAGAGTAGTTTATTGACCTTATTTTCTGACTTGAAGGAGAGTTGGGTAGTTATATTTTAGTGAAAATCCAGACTGACCAGGGCTTCTCAAACTTGTCCCTGAGAATCCCCTGGGAGGCCTATTAATAAAACACTTACTCAGCTCCACCCCAGAGATCTCATCTGTTCGCCTGGACTCAGTCCAGCAGGCTAGGACCCTTGCTACCACCATCCAACCCCTGGCATCTCCTGTGCTCATGTTGGGTAAGGGGTGCGCATCACAACTGTGGTGTTTCAGGCACGCTCTCTGTAAAGTGAAACCCTCAACTGGTTAGAAGCCACGGGACACTGGCAGTTGTGATCATTGAATTCCTTTTAACTCTCACTCCAGAGATCTTAGTGGAACTAGTAAGGTTTATGTACAACAGGAAGATAACTGGAGGCACCTAGAATCTCATTCCAGGCTTGACTCAGGTCATGGACTCTCCAGTGTTCTGCTCTTATTGTGTAATTAAAGACTGGGGCTTTTTCAAGGATATTTCTAAGCCCCTCAGAACAGCTTCTGCCAAACTTAAAGAGCTATTTTCTTGCCAGGCAGCTGACAGTGATTATGAAGAGTCAGATGACTTATTTGTGGGACCAGTTGGGACTTTTGACCTTTCAGCTTATCCTTGTCATCCACCTAAGACAACACAAGACAGTGATGATGTGCCTGAAGTCCAAGGATTAGACATCACCACTTATGGGGAGTCAAATCTAGTAGCTGAGCCTCAGAAGGTAAAGATGAAGCAAAGAATTATACTTTACATTGTTAGCCTAAGATCTATTTGTTACTGGTTGAGTGCATTGTGTTTTCTCAGTCACAGTCTTAAGCAGCAGGAGTTTATTAAGCAAGCCTAAGATCTATTTGTTACTGGTTGAGTGCATTGTGTTTTCTCAGTCACAGTCTTAAGCAACAGGAGTTTATTAAGCAAAGTGAAAGTATACTCTGGAGAAGGGCAGAGAGTGGGCTGTCTGGAAACCAGAAGCAGCCCCACTGTTAGGGTTAGGGTTGGTTCTTAAAATGGTGAAAAGTCCCTCCCCGTGTCTTGTGTCATTTAATTGACTTATATAACCTTCCTAGTGTACAGGCACTTACCCATATGTACCTAAGCTAAACCGAGGGCTGGGGGGTGGGAGAGGCAGGTGGACGGGTGGGGTGGTGCAAAACTACAGTGTAAATTTATTATAATTATAGCATGATGAGCCCTGAGGTAGTTCTGGGTCACCTTCTGGGTCTTAATGTGCCTGTGCCAACCTTTGTTGGTTGTCTGGAAGCCCTGCTGGGGCTTTTTACATCTTGTTAGGCCCTGATAAGGCAGGAGACTGAACCATAAACAAGAGGGGTTTGGGGCAAGTTCTGCCATCTGGTGACAGAAGGGTAGCTGGAGAAGGGGAGGACCTTGTCCAGCACAGGACAGACCTGTTCACCTAGCTGCGTAACATATTTAACTTGCCTCCTATATGAAAGTCACATTGGTTTGAGGTTGATTTTTATTTTTTTCTTGATTTTAACCTGTTGCTTTCCAAGTGGCTGATCCTTAAGTAAGGCTGAGGAGAGGAATGAGCTGATGTTGATTAAGTTTGTGTGGAACTAGCCATCTCTGCAAAGATTGTGCTAAACTATAGGACCAGGGGCAAAGTAGTCATACAAGTAAAGGAATGAAAGCTATACGCAGAGAGAATGGGTTTTTATGCTGATTAAGTGAGGCTAGCTGTTTGACTATGGAAAACCTTTGCCAGATTTCTATTCATAGTAAATTATTCTTTAAGCATCTATTTATTCCATAATAGGTGTGACATGCTTTGTGCTTTCCTGCACATTTGTCTCTTTAACACTAGAATTCCAGGTTAGCCTTTGTGGATTGCACTTGATCAGAAAGAAATTAGATTGAAATAAGGGACTTTATTTTAGTATGTCCAAAGAAAGCATAACTGTTTGGATTAAATAAGATTGATTCTTTATTTAAAATCCAGACTTTTGATTTTACAGTGAGTCAGTGGTGTTTATTCTGCTTTTCTTTTACTGTCACATACCTACTTCAGGTAAATAAAATTGAAATTCATTATGCCAAGACTGCTAAAAAGATGGACATGAAGAAGTTGAAGCAGAGCATGTGGCGTCTGCTGACAGAGTTCTCCAAGCAAGCACACACAGAGGTAACATGATCTGTTACTCTCCAGGTGCCCGGCATGTGGGAAGGGAGTGGCTGAGGTCTAAGGCTCTCAGTATCAGTAGCACTAATGCAGGAAGCATTCATTCAGAAACACAAGGAAGGCATCACACCTCTGAAAGAGAGATGAACAAGGGTATGAACAGGCAGTTGTCTTGCCAATGGGTTTCAGCCCCAGGCAAATTCACTGTGGATTCAGTGAGATCGAGGCATGACAAAGGAACATTCTTGGGATGAAAGGGTTTATTACCTGGTCAAGCACTAGAATTACATCTGCAGCCAACAGTCTGCAGGTCTATAATCCTCCTTCATCTTTGCCTCTGCCCAGAGGACTGGGCAGAGCTCTTTTTATAGTGACTCAGTCAGTTATTGCCCCTGGGTATGGAAGCAAGTAGCCTAGCGGTAGGCCAGTGAGTGACATCATAAAGTAGTTTAGGTTCAGGTGAGGATCCTGGCCATAGGAACCCTCACTTTATCCACAGCAGGTTACATGAAAGGTGATATAGGTGGTAAACTAGTGCATGGGCATTGTTCAACCTTGCTGGTAATCCTGGAATACAAGTGAAAACATGTTTATCGTGGTTTAAAATAACAGCATTAGCAGTGAATGTGTTTCAGTATGGAGTTGAGTTGGAGTACTTCACTGCTGGTGCAGTTCTAAATTGATAAATGACCCTTCTGGAAAGCAAATTCTAATATCTCAGATGCTGTAAAATGTTTTAGGCCTTCTCTTGCCTGAGGGTTTCAGCCCCAGGCAAGTTCACTGTGGATTCTGTGGGACCAGGAAATGACAATGGAACATTCTTGGGGTAAGAGGGTTTTTACCTGGCTTTATTCTCACGGCAATAGGTCAAGCACTAGAATCATGTCTGCACCCAGCAGTCTGCAGGTCTGTAATCCACCTCCATCTCTGCCTCTGTCCAAAGCACTGGGCAGAGCTCTTTGTATAGGGACTCAGTCAGTAATAGTTTACTGCCTATACTGTGGGTGTGGGGGCAGTAGCCTAGCAGCAGGCCAGTTATATCATCAAGTAGTTTAGGGTCAGGTGAGGATCCTGGCCATAAGAACTTCCATTTTCCCTATAGCCTTTGATAATTTTGATTTGGGATGTGTATTCCAAGTAGGAAAGTAGTAAAAAAAATTCATGTTTCTTCAGTACAAGGTGAAACCTTGATTAACTCATTCCATCTAAATGAGACTAAATTAACTAGAATCCTTCCATCCCCTCTTCCAGACCTCTTCTGCTCAGGGAATATTGTGAGCTTTCCGAACTCAACCTATTCTTTCATACCTTCTCCTGCTGGCTGAAAAGTGAAAATGATGATTTGATTGAGGACTCTGGGCAAGTTCACTCTGGATTCAATGGGACCAAAGAAATGACAGTAGAACGTTCTTGGGGTGAAAGGGTTATACCCAACTTTATTTCCATGGTGGCAGGTCAGTCACTAGAGTCCTGTCCACTCAGAGCGAGTCTGCATGCAGCAAGCCGGTCTCTGCCTCTGGGCCTCTCTGCCCATGCAGCCGTCTCAGTCTCTGTCCTCAGTGCTGCCACCACTCCAGTCTCATCTCTGCTCTCCAGCTGTGCCACCGTGTCACCCAGAGCACTGGGCAGGGCTCTTTATATAGAGTCAATAACAACGTATTGCCCACACGTGTGTAGTGAGCTAGCCAACCAGGGCCAGGTGAGAATCCCGCCCACAGGAACCTTCATTTTATCCACAGTAGTCTTGGATATCAGATAATGCTTCAGTCATGTTCATTAGGTTTTATCAACTAAAATGGAATGGGATGCAAATATAAGAGAAACGTCCTCTTTATTAAGTGGGAAGGGGGTTCTGCTTAATCTTGGGATTTAAATGACTCATGATAGCAGGGATTTTGGTTAGTTTAATTAAAGGTTTATTATTTGGTGGGGGTTTTTTTTTTTCTCTTTATGACCTTCTATTTATTAATACTTGGATCAGAGAAATCCAGAGTCCACTGTACTGGAGGGTTCTGGAATTCCAGGCTGTCTCTTAGATGGTAGGGTGCAGTGCTCTAGTTTGTCCTACTGGATCAGGCTTGCCCAGGAGATAGACCTACAGCTGGACCAGCAAAGATGCTAGGAGAGGAACACTCTGTTCTTCTAGCTGGGGCCTTGTGGGTGAGAGAGATTGATATAGACAGTGGAAAGAAGACCTGGATATCTCATCCTCATCAAGAAGACTTTACAGTTCTATGATTTGAGCTATGTTATAAGCATCACAGTACAAAGCAGGAACTGAGGCCACTGGCCTGTCCAACTGAGGATCTTGCATTTGGACATCACCTGTGGGACTTTCAGTGATGAAAGTGTCCCATGCGAAATTGGAAGAGCCTAAGGGCTGAGGTGGAATGTAGCTATAGAAATCTGAAACACTAGGAATAAAAGGAGGAGGTTTGGTTGATGTTGTGCATGATGTGGGCACATTCTTGGCCAGAAGGATCTGGTTTTTTACTTTAATGATTGTTGTTTCTGCTGCTACTTCCTCCTCTTGAATCACCAGTTCTGGGACCGAATCTTTATTGTTGACTCAGGTAGGGTGAGTTTCAAAGCAAGTTCTGGAGATTCTTATCTGGAAACATGGTATGGCTAAACAGAGCTCCAGCTCTTCATGCTATGTGTGCATAAATGAGGTGCATTTGGGGCGTCCTCCGTATCGGGTGACCAGCTGGATCCTGTGTTATCGAGTTCATGCTGGAAGCACCCATGTTGATAAAAGGGTCTGACTGGGGCTTCTCTGGGGCCATCCTGTTCATCAGGGGTGCTGATATATGGGATGGAAAGCTTGTCACAGATCTTTTTGGAAGTGCCCATTTTCAAGCCTTCTTGATGCATCTTTCTGGAAATGCTGTTTCCTTAGTGTCTGGACTTTTTTATTATGAAAATATTTAAACATTCAAAAGTAGAAAGTAGAATAGTGTAGTGAACACCCATTTCCAATAGTTGTCAATGTTTTTTTTTTTACTGTCACCCAGACCTGTGCCATCCCATGTACACACTCTCAGTTGTTTTAATGCAAATCTCCAGAAGGAACTTGCTTTGAAACTCAAAGCCTACTAGCAAGGAAGCAGCCCCCATCCTGTGTGTGTGTTTTAAGTGGAAAGCTCAAGTCTGCTTCAGATACAGACCCTGCTGCTCTTGGCTTTGTAGTTCAGTTAAAGCTATAAATGTATCATGGCTTTTTGTTACTGTTTTGTCTTTTTTTTTTCCTTACTGTTTTTTCAGAGGTACCTAGAAACCTCTTTTCTGGGATTGTACTGGTCATTGATACCCATGTTGACTGTACTTGGTGGTCAGTGTCATGGACCAGCGCTTGAGGCAGTGGGTCCCTTTGTGGGTCCTCCTTCAAAATGCAACTGAGAAAATGTTTGGGTTCCATTAGGTGTAGGCTTTTCTTTTTGGACTTACAGTTTTGTAAGTTTATGTTGCTCTCTCAAAAGTTAACTGGTCCTAAATGTCTAATCTATAAAAATCTTCATCTGTTAGGCAAACCACAGTGAAATTGAAAGAGAAGGGGATCTGGCAGAGGTGGCTGACAAGAAGATGCTTAGTGGGCTCACAAAGGACCTGCAGAAGAGGTGGGTGCCAGTGAACATGGGGGGCTCACTGCCTCTCCTCTGAGCGCCAGCTGAGGGTGCTCTAGCCTGAGCTGTCAGTGTGACAGACCCTTTGCACACAACCTGTTGTTTTAACACTTACAGCAATTTTTCTGTTCTCTGCATTGATAAATGAGTTATATGGTAAATGAGATCAGCTTTAAAAAGGTACTTTTCTGCACCAATGGCTAGAATGGAATAGGAGATATTTTATTTCCAAATAAGAAACTGGGAAAACCTGCTTATAAAATGCATCGGAAATATTTCTTTGTTTCTCCTTAGTTTATTCATTGAACTTGTGTATTCATACTTAATGAAAGAGCCTTTGTTCCTAGAATTGCAGTAACCTATCTAAATACTTGCCTCTTTGTTTTATAGCCTGCCTCCCATCATGGCTCAGAACCTCTCTATACCTCTGGCCTTTGCCTGTCTCCTACATTTAGCCAATGAAAAGGTAGGTAAATTTGGTAAGCTTGGGAGTATTCTCTATTTGTGTCAAAGTATTTGAGCTGCTTATTACATCTTCCATGGGCATCCTCATAGGAGTTCTTAAACACAGTGACCTATGCAGTACTTTTAACCCAGAGGATTAACCAGGTACCTGGAAGCAGCCTAGAGACCATCAGTTATGATTAGCCATGAAAATAATGAGGACCCAAATGGGAAAATTTTAGGTGCTGAAGTTATAATCTGTCAGTTCTTCTCTTAAAAATATGAAGTACTTTTACATCATTGGGAGTAAAAGGCTTTAAAAGCCAAGTCTAGCCAGTGTCAAAGTCCAGACACATGGGAAACATGGCAGAGAAGAGAGGGGAAAGGTGAGGATACAGAAAGATAGGGCATAAAAGCAATGTGGGCAAAGCAGGAGCACTGGGAGCAGTGAGAACAGCCGGGGGATAGCTCTGCCACAGGAAGGAGACAGCAGAGCAGGGGTGCCAGCTGTGAGCATGCCATCCTCCTGTTATGCTCCATCAGCCAACAGAGCTGGGCAGCTGCGGAGCAGGTACTGAGAGAGCAGGCAGAGGCCCCTCTTCTCAGGAGTCTGTTGGTGCTACCGGGACGCACCCAGTGAGACAGCCAGCAATAGGCCCGTTCGTGGGGTACATCAAAACTTGATGTCACTTAATGTTCCCAGGCAGCTGATCCCCCAGAACTTTGGCACCTGATGTAGAGGACAGGGGGCTGGGCCTTAGTGGAAGTGGAGAGCATCACTAGGTCTGGGGTGCCTGGCTGCCATTGTGTACCACTCCTGTAGACACTGAACCTCATCTAGGACAGGTGTCCTGCTTGGCATTGGGGGATTAGAGTTTGATGCTTGTCTGAACATAAGTATAGTCTGAGGGAATTGGCACTGGAATGGTAGCAAAAAGGGGGTGCTGGCAGACAGGTCTAGGATTTCTTATATGCCGGTGCCTCGAGCCTCACAATGACATCAGAAGCAGTGATGATTGGCTGTTTCCCAGGCCTGTCTTTGCTTGGATTGACTCTCAGCCCTAAAGGAGAGATGTTACCCCAGGGACTGGCCTGTAGAGCATAGTTGGCAACCCATCCAAGGGGACCCACCACTGGGGTCAGGGACCACTTTTCAGCTTCTAAGCTCATGACCCACTGAAGAAGAAGAAGCTGTCCATTTAACAGAAGCTAGTTTGATTTTGGGTGGGGAACAGAGTAGAAGAGCCACCGAGCCAAGACAAGTGCTGCGTGTCTGACTGTGGTGCTGACACCTGGGCCTGTGGCCACGGTTCGGGTGTTTACAGTGGAGGTACTAACATGTAACCCGCTTGCCTGCCGCGGCGGAAACCTCGTGCGCTGAGAGCCGGTGCAGATGGTTGTTGACAGGCTGGAAGGCAATGAGCAGCAGTGGGGGCAGTGTCCTGCTCAGAAGTCAGGCAGACAGGCTGGGGGCCCAGAGCATCTCTCCGTGGTTATGGGAGGAGATCTGACAGTGTCTACTGCCGATTCCTGACACATGCTGTCAGAAGCAAACTACACGAAGGAAGACTGACTAAGAGAAGGAGACGAATAAAAAGATGTACTGTTGTCATCTTGAGAAGAAATCCCCAAGTGGCTCTGATGGGATCGATGTCTGAGGAGGAGAGCACACAAGCCATCCATCTGTCTGATGTTCCCAGTTGTCCCCTGCTAAACTGTCCTGGGGGCGGCTTGGAGTCCCACGCCCACTTTGTGGGTGAAGGTGCCAGTGGATGGTCCCACTGTGTGCGCTCTCCTCACCCACTGGCTCCTACAGTGTGGGTGCCTCCAAGGCTCAGAAGCTCTTAGCTTGAGTCCATATTCAGAGCTTGGCCTCTTTCACTCAGGTGCACCAGTCTGAGGGTCAGAGCGCTGCCCTGGGCTGTGTGTCTCCACGGAAGCCTGCCTCCTCCTGTGAGAGAGCAGCTCTGAGGCCCCCACTTGTTCCCGAGTAGCCCAAGGCTGAGTAAACCCAGCTAAGCAGTAGTCATGATCCAGTGGCCTAGTGAAGGTGGATGATGCTCTGGCTTGGTGCTGCCCCGCTTCCCCCAGTGGCACTGCCAGCTCTGTTCATTTTGCTATGATCACATCTCTCCAATGGCCCAGAGTGCTCAGCATTTGAGGAATAGGGAGGTGGCTCCAGACCATGGCCTGTTGGGCAGAGCTCTCACTCAGGTCATTACTGGGGCCTGGTTTGGGGCTACTTGAGAAGATTTGACTGGTAACATTGGCCCTGATAATTACCATGATAATCTGCAGGGATAATCCAGCAGAATGCCACTAATTAGCCAAACCAGGCAGCTTCTGGAATCGAAGCTGCAGAAGTCACATGTGGAAGGCCAGATTGGAGCTTCCCATCTCCAGTACTGGAAGGTGCACAGGACAGGGTGTGGATTGTGTGCTTCTTCCTGTGCAAGCCGGGGGAGGTGTGTAGGCGGTGAAGTTAAGCACCAAAGTCTTCTGGTGCTTGCTCAGTCCTGAGCGAAATGATTGCCTGGGGTTGTTGGATAATTCCCAGGGTGGGGGAGGAATTGAGAATAGGGAAAGGGCCTGCACAGAGAGGGACAAAGGCTGTTTTCATGGCTATCACCAAGGGTAAGGTTGGGGGCAGTGGGGAGAGGACCTGGAGGAAGCCATACAAGGACAGGGTGATAAATGTGTTGTGGCTCCTGGTGGCCTCCCCATGCAATTCCTTAGCTCCTTCCTTCCAAGGCAAACAGTTTTAGCTCTTGGGCCCTTCATGAGAGAGTTGGTTGCAGGAACCAGTGTCAGGGAAGTCTTGCTTCTTGCTTTTTTTCCCCAGCAACTGGCCAGGATTTGCAACCAGCTTTATCATGCAAATTACATCTGCTGTGACATTATTTACTTAATATGGTGTAAACCTCATTCTTTGTAGTCATTAGACTATTACCTTGATTAGACGTTGTTTTATGATTCTCATTTTCTCAGTATGCCACAATTCATGTATTTCTGATCATCCTTCAGAACCTGAAGCTGGAAGGAACTGAGGATCTTTCTGATGTCCTTGTGAGGCAGGAGGATTGAGTCGGTGGGGGAGAAGTCGGAGCAGGGGCCCCATCACTTCTCAATGACCGGACATCTTCATCTGGGTTTCACTCTGGGCTGCAGCCAACTACTGAAGTGCCTGTTAGTCTGTTGCTCTTCCCTTCTGTCCCTCACAGCCAGGGACCAGCACCTTGAAGCTCTGTCCTTTGTTAAAGTTTTTACCCTGTGTGACCACCTGGGGGGTGGGGGAGGTGGTGGAGGATAGTGTTCTTGATTATGAGAACCTGTTTCCATTCTTTATATCCATGTATAGTTTTCATCTTCTAAGTTGATCTGTATCATTTTCCACACTTTACTTTTGTAGAAAATAATTTCCCATAGGTGCTGGTCCTTAAACTGCTACCTAACTCATGTACATAAAGTACATCATATGGGCACTTAAAAATGTATATATAATGCTTAAAATAAAGTCATTCTGGATAATATGCTTGGCAAAATAATTGAGTACCCTCTAGATAAGCTTTAGACCTGGGCCTTACTAACTCAAGGTGGATGTAGTCGTGTTAGCTAGACAAGACACCCATACATGCCAGGATAAGGCAGGACACAGCTCAGCTTAAGGGCTGGGATGATTTGTCTGTGGCAGAATGGAGGAGAGAGAAATCACCGGCTGGAGATTGAGATGTTGAGATGCAGTCCACTGGGCCTTTGAATTCTGCTGGAGGGTGATGATAGTAAAAACTGCTGACATTCAGGTGGCTACTAAGTACCTTCTGTGGATAACTTCATTCAGTCTTCTCAGCACCCCCGTAAGGGACATACTGTCACCTCTCCCGTGGTACAGAGGAAAAGTAGGTACACAAAGGTGAAGCAACTTGCATAAGGACAGCCAGCTGTCAGAGCCTGACCTTGAACCAGGTAATGTGCTTTTAGAGTCTGTTCTTTGCTTTATGCTGGTTCAGGGCTTATAGATGTTGATCCAGGTGATTCTGTCCTTGGCAGGTCCTGGGCCTCTCCCAGAGCATCCTGTCACCATTCACTGGGTTTTGGATGTTGGGTCAGAAGCAGTGAAGTATATAATTCATGATAACTCCTGATAATAAAGAACTTGTTCCTGCGCTAAAACCACACAGAAGTAATCCTCTCCCTTCAGGAATGTGCTTTCCAAATTGTGTCCAAAATATTACCCACTCTGTTACACTAAGAGGGTTAGACTTGTGAACATTCTGCAGTAGAAAAAGGAAAGCCGAGTGAGAACCATCCCGTCCTGCTGGGGCCAGAGCCCCCAGCATCCTTTTGTGCCAGGTGAGTGCCAGGCCTCCTGCTCTGCTCTGTCCTGGGAGCAGAGCCAGCCAAGCCGACTCCCCTTCAGCCCAGCATGCTTCTCTGAGTGGGCTGAGTCCATTTCCCAGTAGTGGTGATTCTGCTCAGTATGGCAAAGAGGAGGCTGTGTTTGCTCATCTGCACGTCAGCTGTCCTGGAGGCACTTACTGACTCCACTGTCACCAAGCTGTTCATCTTGGATTCTTCCAGCAGTCTGGAGGCCATTGCATCTTATTCTTTTCAGTAAAAATGATCTGTGAAATAAAAGGTTGTGATTTCATTTGTATACTTTTGCAAGATTTTTATATGAGTAAATGCACAAATCAGGGAGAAAGGAAAACCTTTGTCAGATTAAATGGGACAACACTGCATTTGTATCTGTCACGAAACTGTCTTCAGTCTGCAGTGCTGTTCAAGGTGTTCTGAGCCCAAGCTTGGAGTACACTTCTAAAACCTTTTTCTTAATATTGGAGATAGTTTTCCCTGGGTGAGAATGAGTGGAATTTGCAAAAGGGTTTCCCAAAGTGGAATTCCCAAAGGAATTAAAAACATTGCAGAAGCAAAGAATGGGCCCATGCCCCTATGAACAGGCTAAGGAATCAGAGCTGTCCTCACTCTTCTCACTGAAGAAGCGGAAAACAGGCAATTGGAAGGGACTAAGTATTTGAGGATGTGAAGGTGGGAAGTCCCTTTGGCCAGGAGGAAACAAGGCCAGTGTGACAAGAAGTGAAGCTGCTGAGGCTCAACTGCAACAGTGCGTGTCCTTAGCAAAACAGGAAACCTCTCTGCCACAGTGGAAGCCCAGTTTGGGAAACCATCTCTGTTCTTAGGGATAAATAAGGACACTGACTCAGGAAATCGCCTGAAGAGTGTGTCTAGGTCTGAGTTACCTCCTATGTAAACTAGAGATGGAGTCAGAGTCCAGGCAGGAGTCAAGCCAGGAACAGAACAGAAAGCTTAGTGTAAAGAGCTGTTACTAGGTACATGGAGTTGATACTGACGGGACGGGAGGGCTGTAGGTATCAGGTGAGTAGCAGCTGTCAGGAGGTCTGGGAAAACAGGGACTGAAGAGAAACACTTGGGAGACTTCCAAGAGGCCTCCATAGAGCAGAAGCCCCCTGAGAAGGGCCTGCTCCCCTGGTGCTGGTGGCATCCAGGGGACACTGCGAAGCTGCTGTGATGGTTGGCAAGCTGCCGTGGGGAGGAGCTGCTGCCAACCAGGGTGAAAAGCGCTGCTGGGCACTGCCTGCCTGCCCCCCCCACAGGGCTTGGGGACCAGAAGGGGCGGTCCCTTTCCCCACCCTGCAGGCACCCTCAAGTGCCTCGCCTCACCTTGGTAGGACCTAAAAGGGAGTGGCTGGCAAGGTAGCTATGTTTGCAGAGGGCCAGGCTCAGCATCACCCAAAGGGAATAGAAGGTGCTGTGAAGCTGAGCAGAGGGTGGTTCTCAGCTCCAGGGGTTTCTAGAATTCTTGCTGGTATTTATTACAATAGTAGAATCCTTCCTACTATTTATTATGAAATAGTATTTATATTTCTTACCACCTTACATTGATTTACTAGTAAGTGCTTGACAACTGACTGAAGGTGAGACCAGAGAGGCTGGAGGAAGAGACGGCAGCCCCTCTGACTTTGAGGACAGGCTGGCCACAGCACACCAGGCTGAGAGCAGGAGCACTGGGCATGCTGGCAGGCCGGAGTGCTGCCATCCTTCGGCATTCCACGCCGTGCGTGGCCTCCTTCCCTCTTCCTTCCACCCCACCCTCTTCCCTCATCTTTTCAACTCTAGAATATACTTTAAATCTCCACTCTTGTTCCAGCAGAAACCTCCATCTCCTCTGCCCGTCATCTGGGTTTCCCTTCCAGCCTCTCTTCCCTGCTGCTCCTGTCCACTCCACTTACACTCCGTGCTTCTGAGAAGCCTTTCTCCAGACCCAGACAGGAGCCCCTGTGGCCTCTGTGCTGCAAGATGCTCCAGCCCCACCCTGTGCCACCCCTGTCCTCACCTCAGAGGGTCTTCCTGGTGAAGGCACCCAGGGACTTCAGACACCTCCACAGTGCACTGGGTCCTCCTAGCTTCCTGTTGTAATGGGCTGCTGCCACACACCCCTCCCCAGGGAGTCCCTGCTGGTCCCCCTGGGCAGGGTGACGCTGGAGGATGCCATAGATATTGCTGCATTTCTGTGGTGCAGCTGCAATGCCCTGCAGCTCCAGCTCTTCCCTTTGGATGGGCTCTGGCTCTCATGCCCTGCACTGAGCGCCTACTTAGGCTCTGGAGAGGACTCTGCAAAGAGGTCACAGCCCTGTGGCGGGACAGACGTGCATTAACAGCACGTCACCCCAGGACCAGGCACCTAGCTGCTTCTGCTCTGTTCACACCATTCCTTCCACATAGCACAGCCTTTCCTGCTTTTGCAGTTTGGCACAGACCTGCTCCCTACAAAGCCCAGCTCAGGTGGCCCCTCCTTGATGACATCTTCTCCAGCCCCCAGACTTACCCTTGGGGCTTCCAGGCACCTTAACACAGTGGGCTGGTCCAGGACAGGAGCCAAGTTGACTGGATGGGCAAATGATGCATAGCTGGCTGGGTGATAGGGGGGTGAATGGCACAGATGAATAGAAGATAACATTTGTTTATTGGGGTTGCCATACACATTTCATGGCTTAATTTATTCTCCCACAGTTCTGAAGGCGAGAAGTCCAAAATCAAAGTGCTAACAGGGCTCTGCTCCCTCTGCAGGGCCTGGGGAACACTCTTTTTTTGCCTTGTAGCCTATCAGTCACTGCAACCTGTGCCTCCACCTCCACTGTGCCTTCTCTGGGTGCCCCTCTCTGTCTCATGTACTATCGCTGGATTTAGGGACCACCTAATGCAGTATGAGCTCATCTTGTCCCTTACCTTAGTTACATCTGCAAATACCCTATATCCAGATAAAATGACATCCCAAGCTTCTGGGTAGACAGGAATTTTGGAGGGGACACTATTTAACCCAGTACAGGTGGTTAGATGAAGGGTAGGCATTGCATAGAGGATATTAGAGGCTGGATTGTGCCCCCCCAACCCACAACCCATCTTGAAGTCCTAACCCCCAGTAGCTGAGAATGTGACTGCATTTGGGAATAGGATCTTTAAAGAGGTAGTTAAGTTAAAATGGGATACTTAGGGTGGGCCTTAATCCTATGTGACTGGTGTCCTTATAAAGGGGAAATTTGGACACTGGCACACATAGCAGGGAACCCCATGTGAACATGGAAACAAGCGTCTACAAGCCAAGAGGAGAGGCCTCTAAAGAAACTAATCCCGCCAACACCTTGATTTCAAACTGTCGGCAAGCAGAACTGTGGGAGAATGCGTTCTGGGTTTAAGCCTCCTGTCTGTGGTACTTGTTATGGCAGCCCCAGCTGACCTCGTCCGAGGGGATGGCAGCTGCCCTCGCTCCCCCAGCCCACCTTCCTGCCTGTGCCTTCCTCTGTGTACACAGCTCTTTGTGGGCCCAGCCTCCCACGCGGCTCCCTCAGCTCCAACTATGTGCTTCATCCAGCTACTCGGCTTCTTTGCTTCCAGTTTCTCCAGCAGCTGGGCCTCGTGCAGAGGGCAGGGCAAGAGAGGTTGCATGAGGCTTCAGTTCCATGGCACCCAACCCATGTGACCCAGAGGGAGCTCTGCCGGTCATCACCAAGTCCACGTGGTCTGGCCGCACTGGCTGCTCTCAATGGGACACCATGGTGTGGGTCACTGCCAACTCTGTTGTATTCACATCTGTTCTCAAAGACCTGGCCTTGTTGGCTTCTCCCCGAGGGAAGGCACAGTGAGCATGATCTCCCCCACTTGACAGATGAGTCCCCCAGGCCATACAGCACATTGGCAGCAGAACTGAGAATGACACCCAGGACTCCTGACGGGCACACCCACGTCCTCACCAGCTTCTTCCCCTTCTACCTCTGCTCTCATCTAGCCCACCCATCACAGCTCAGGGCTCGGTGGGCTCTGGGGCCCAGTTAGCCATTCTCAGCAGGCACATGCCTTAGGGTGCCAAGTTCTTCCAGAGCAGCCACCTCCAACCTTCCCCCACCACCCCTGCAGGCCCTGCTCATCGCTGAGGAGCTGGGCCCCCACTAGCGCCTGCTGCTGCTGGAGGGAACTCCACTCCTGAGACAGTAAG